CTCGAAATTAATTTTAATATATTTAAAATTAATGTATAAATTTAATTTTTAAATTTTTATTTAATGTAAAAATGAAGAAAAATAGGTGGATGATGAAATTGAAAATAATTTTAGAAAAAATAGGTGAAAATTTGGGTTCTGGAAGTATTTTTGATATTTTTGAAAGAAAAATAAAAAATTAGAGGTTAAAACATAATTTAAAAAAATTTTACCACGTAGGACACCTAGCCAGCAGCCCCGATGAACTGGAGTGCGTCGCGTGGCAAAACACTCTGACGCGGTGCCACACGGGAGGCCACGCTGGCAATCTGCTTGTCAGCGATCGGACGATCCGAATTTATTCCTACGCGTGTGGACAGTCTGGATTCGTTTTCTCTTTAAACGCGATTGTACGGTCCAGATTCACTTCCTATTTAAACGCGATCGGACAATCCAGATCAAACGCAATGGACGGCATAGATTAAAATGAAATGGATATAAATACCTCACCTCATGGTACGGTCTTGGGTTGCGGACCGACTTCAATTTAATAATGTAGATTATTGGAAGGTTGGTTAGCAGATCCAAAAAGAAAGTATACAAAAAGTTTGAATGTAGATTAAACAAGTATGTTAATCTTGTTAACGTCCCCACTACCTGTTATCAAGGGCTATTAATTCGTACAGTGAAGGCACATGATCATTGAACACTATCTAGCAACCAGGGGAAATTAGATGAAGAGATTTGGAATGGCAAAGGCTTGAGGTATGTACAAATGCCCTCCACATGAAAGATAAAGATTTGAGTCAGAATCTTCTCAATGTCATAGATACCCCAGGAAATTAATACAGCTTCCCACCACTTTTAATTACAGGGATTTCAAATATGATGGCAGGACTAAATTTATTTAGAAATATCACACAAACAATACATATTTATGTATGTAAATATCTTATTATTAACATATATAGTCGTGAAACCCCATTTTTTTCTAAGGGAAGTGCAACTAATTACTACCGCACGTACACACACCTTGCATGCAATTAAAGAATTACTGATGATTTTCATTGAAGCCAATATCTAAAAGTACACAATGGCTTCCTTAGTTTTTATTTGGTTGGAATCTTATAAAATTACTATTGACTAATTAATTTGGTTTTGCCAAGGCATATTGGTTGACAAGAGCCAAGGCATTGCTTGTCAAATGAGCAGTCTTAACTATACGCCCACGCACCACCGTCTTGAGTTTCCCCTTCATTCCCTTAACAGGAAATGCATGCATGCAAAGCTCCTCTTCCTCCAACGCAGTTCTCACCCATGCCTGAATTTCCCTCAACTGAACCTGAAAATCGGATGCGCCCGATCTCATCTTGGCGTCACTATCCGTTCCCGTCACCGATTTTTGAAGCTCCTTCACCGAGTCCTTGATGTCAGCGACGCAGTCTTGAATTGCTGCAGCCTGGTTAGGGTTGAAGCCGTGTGTCCTGGACAACTCTTTCATCAACCTTGAGGTGGTCTGGGCGGCCGCTAAGGAGGCGTTGAGGGCTGCGTGAGCGAGAAGCTTGGGGTCTGCTTGGGTTTTGGTTGCGTGCCGAAAGAGGGACTTTAAGCAGAGTCTTGGGTACGTTGTGCGTCTACATGATGTTCTGATGTTTTCCCTGTGAGTCTGCTTGGTACTGCCATGGAAGACTGGTTTTTTGGTGGCTGTGCATGGGATGATTTGTGTTGATATTTGAAGGAGAAGGATAGAGAGAGCTATTATTGCATGTCCCCGACATGGATTTCCCATATCTTTTTTTTTTTTTTTTCTCTCTCGATCTTTTGGATTCATGTAAAGGGGCGAGAGTCGTGCTTTGTTCTTATAGGGAGAGGATGAAGGTGGGTTATAAGAAATTCAATTTGAAGACAACGAATTTAGTTTGGACAACAATGATTTTACATAATATATGTGTGATTGAGGACCATTTAATAATTACTTAAAGGTCAAGCTTGGATATGAGTCACGAGTAATTTTGCCTATTTAATTAAAATGAGAAAATAACAAAAACATGGAAGGCTTAGGCGCAGCAGATCATCTATGATATTTAAGAGAGCTATCCATGCATTAATTTCAGAAAGTAAATAGTGGGTTAATGAATCGGATTAACTAAGGTTTTAAGGGCTTGAGAGCACTACTAATTTTGGATTAATTTATCATCATGTACAATTTCTTTTATATATAAATAAATTGATTTTTCTGAAATTAAATCTCTCAAATTATTAAGTTAGTTTTTATTTTCAGGTATAATATATAATTAATTGATGTTATGTAATCAAATTAAGTGATTGTAGTTTTGCATCAATTTTTTTTTTTTTGGGTATTATTTGTCCTCTGAAAATTCCCATTAAAGGGAGCGAATATGTTCTTCTTTTTTGAGGACAAAAAAAAAAATATATGTATTTCTCTAACAAAGATATCACGTAATCTGACTTGCAGAAATTTGGCCATTTTGTCTTGTTGAATACTCAATTTAGAAAAATCATGGCAGCTCTCAACACAAGGAAAATCTTGTCTTAGTTTGAAAATCTTAAAACTACCCCATCGTATTTCTATTTATTTCTTCCTCCTTACTCAACGCCTTTACTCTCTCCATTTCAAATCCATAACAACCTCTCTCTCTCTCTCTCTCTCTCTCTCTCTCTCTCTCCTCCTCCCGATCTGCAACAAATAGAAACAATTTCAATTTACAGCATTCGATTTTAACACCATGCAGAAGAGCGGATCATCATCGTCACTGGGACCGGGCGGGCTGGACCTGACTCAGGCCTTCTTCAAGCCCATCCTCAACACGGCCCCTCCGTCCCCAACCAAGCGCCACACCAAGATCTCCGTCATTGGTGTCGGAAACGTCGGCATGGCCATTGCCCAGACCATCCTTACCCAGGACCTGGCCGACGAGCTTGCACTCGTCGACGCCAAACCCGATAAGTTGCGAGGCGAGATGCTAGACCTGCAGCACGCCGCCGCCTTCCTTCCCCGAACCAAGATCTTGGCCTCCGTCGACTACTCCGTCACCGTCGGATCCGATCTCTGTATCGTTACTGCCGGGGCCCGCCAGATCCCTGGCGAGTCAAGGCTCAACCTGCTTCAGCGAAACGTCGCCCTCTTTTCCAACATCATACCCCCTCTGGCCAAATACTCGCCCGACTGCATCCTCTTGATCGTCTCCAATCCCGTGGATGTGTTGACTTACGTGGCGTGGAAGCTGTCTGGATTTCCTTCTAACCGGGTAATCGGGTCGGGCACCAATCTTGATTCGTCTCGGTTTCGGTTTCTGATCGCTGATCATCTTGACGTCAATGCTCAGGATGTCCAGGTGATTTTTGGTGTATTTTTAAGGAATTAATTTATATTTAAATTTGAGGACGCTTAAGATTTCTTTATTTAGTGTTTAAAAATAAGTTTAACTGATCTGTTAATATATTAATCAACACTATATTTTATTAAGTATTTATATTTGAAGTTTCATAAAATTTAATTTTATATTTATCAATACATAGATTTTTCATAATTATTTTAAACTTATTTTTTTTTCTTACCACCGGCACTTATGTAGGGGAATGAGGCATTTTGTGGAAAGGTAGTAACTTTTTTTTTTTTTTTTTTTTTTTTAATATTTAAAGGTTTGATTCAACTAATTTGAATGTTAAGGAATGTGCATCTTCCATTATCTATTATTAAATAAGTTCACCTTTTTTAAATGTTTCGTACGTGTTCTTAAATCTTGTAATCCTGGAACAGCTTTTACTTTCAAACTATAATTTTCTTTTTTGCAAAACAAGAATGTTCTTGGTTTAATTTTTAATTTTAAATGATTCAGATTAAATTCCTTTTTTTTTTTTAAATAAATAAATAAATAAATAAAATATTTTATGATAATACCAACTGGATATCATATCAATTCTGATTGATTTATCTAAAAGTTCTCATTTTCACCTCTTTATGGGCGGGTTGGACTGAATTTGAGCGACGTGGGTCTCTTGGTAATCTTAGTGGGTCTGGCTTTCTGGCCTATTGGCAACTTCAGCCCATGGTTTTTGGGCCTAGTTGGTCTGGTTTATTATGGTTTTTGGGCCTATTTCCATGTATGTATTTTCACGTTTGCAGGCGTACATAATTGGGGAGCACGGCGACAGCTCGGTGGCGCTCTGGTCCAGCATAAGCGTGGGCGGAGTGTCGGTGTTGAGTTTTCTAGAGAAGCAGCAAATCGCATGCGAGAAAGAGACGCTGGATAAAATCCACAAAGCAGTCGTGGAGAGCGCATATGAGGTCATAAATCTGAAAGGTTACACATCTTGGGCCATTGGTTATTCCGTCGCCAGCTTGGCTAGAACCCTACTTCGCGATCAGAGAAAGATCCACCCCGTTTCTGTTCTCGCAAAGGGCTTTTATGGCATCGAAGATGGCGATGTGTTCTTGAGTCTCCCCGCTCAGCTTGGTAGGGGCGGTGTCGTTGGAGTCACCAATGTTCATTTGAACGAGGAAGAGACACAGAGGCTCCAGCACTCTGCTCATACTCTCTTTGAACTCCAGTCCCAATTAGGTCTCTAAGAAAACCTAATTAAGACTGCAAATTTTGGATCTTTTTTACGGTTAACTTTTCCCCCCCAGCTACCAGTAAACTCTAGCAGTAAAATACATATATAGTATTGTGTGATTTGAACTTGTCTTTACAAGTCCCATCACCTATTTTATGGTTTGATGTGACTGTCATTTAATGTTCTTTTCCGTTTTCATTCCTCAATAAGAACATTATCGAAATTTCATGATCTGAAGATTAAGATGTTACATTCTATGGATGTAGTGGATTCATGGCATGCAATTAAGAATTTTGATCAGATTTTTTTTGGGGTTAAAAAGTATGGGTTAGAATTCGAATGTTCTTCACTTGTATAAATCAGTAGTAATTAGATCATAATAGTGTTTAGAACTTAATTAATTAATGAGGTAGAGATTAAATTAAATTTTATATCTGCAGATTATAAATATTTTATGATTGTTAAATTTTTTTAGATGAATGTATTTCAATGAGTTAAACAATTCTAACTAATCCGCAGTCTTTTTTCTCTTTAAAAATAAGAAAGTTTCATTTTATGCAAATCCAACATTTAGGGAAAATGAAATAAAACCAGAAATTTTTTACCTTTACCTGTCAAATAATTGAGTTTAGGTTAATTTTTTTACATGGTAATAAAAAAAAAAAAAAAACTTAATCTGCCAAAATAAATAATGACTCTCCAAATATAAACAAGATTAAATGATAATATATAAATATTTCTAATTAACACCTCACCTAATTTACATTAATTTATATTCAGAAGATTTGCAGCTACTCAAAATTCACATAATTCAGCAACCATTTTACCGTATCCTAGCAATTTAGATTGCCCCATATTCTATTGTAAAGCAAATCAAACAAGTAACTATGACAGTCTATATAATTAGGCTTCTAGTGGGAGAGAGGAAAGAAATACTGGATTCTTACACAAGACAATCCGCACCAAGATTTTGTTTTCTCAAGAATCAAACAGAAAATCAAGATGGGTTTTCCTGCGTGGAGGCAAATCTGTTGATGAGAGCCAAAGCATTACTTGTATAATGAGCAACCTTAATAATATGTCTTCGAACCCTGGTCTTAACATATCCATTCATGGCCTTCCCTTCAAAACCATCCATGCAAGTATCCTCATCAGTCAAGGCAGCGCTCACCCAGGTTTGAATATCGCTAATCGCAAGCGCGAAATCTGGGTCGTCTCTGATGATATGATCGATTTCTGCCAATGAATTTCGAATCTCAAAAACAGAATCGGCCATCTCTTCCAAACAATCCGCCATGGCAGCAGCTACTCTGGGCTTCAACCCATGGATTCTTGACAGCTTCTTCATCAATCTTGATGTAGATTTGGTTGCTTTAAGAGTAACATTGAGAGCGGTACGGACTAATAATTTGGGGTTGGCATCAATTTTTGAAGCGTAGATTGAGAGGGACCTGTAGCAAAGCCTTCTATAGATAGTTGCAGCACATGATTTTTTTATGTAATCGATACTTTTGCTATGAAATTTTGTGGTAGGCGAGCACGAGAGTACGTGCAGGGTTGAGAATTGGAGGAGGAGGAGGAGGAGGAAGAGCACAACAAAGACTTTCATCTTTGGTGGTGGTGGTGGTGGTGGTGGTGGGAAGAGGGGGGAGGGAAGTTTTTATATATAAAGAATGAATTGAAGAAGATAAGTGTACAAGTAATTTATAGATCAATAAGTAATCTTGTTTTGTGGTTGCGATGCCTGATTTTTAGGAATTTTATTTTTATATCATCAAAGAGGAAAGTACCCTTTGATAAATATTAATTATATCACATTTTTTTCACTTCAACAAAAGTTTTAGCACTTAGTCTCGCAAGGGGCATACATGAGGACAAAGATAATTGGGTACTCTTTGAATTATTTCATAGTTTTTCTTTTTATTTTACTTTTTTTTAAGTGAAAATTTAGAAATTTCTATTGTTAAAAAAAAAAAAAAAAAAAGAAAGGAACATAAAATCCGACAATTTTAAATATATAAATGTAATATTTAGGTTATAAAGATCTTTTTTGTTAATATATGGGTTACTAAATTACAACTCTTAAGAATATAAAACATTAAAAACATATGATATAATTGAGATGAAATATAAAATTTATCATCTAGTAATCAAATTTTTTAAAATGAAATTGCAGGTGAATTGAGTAGAAATAAAATTATCTGAAAATCAATCTCTGCCAATATATTAAAAATATACAACTGATAAGTATGTTATAATATAATACAAATATTTTAACCATATTAATTGATCTTAGTAAAATTTGAATTAAGTAATATTTTTTTTATTTTTATAAAAGTAAAGATTAGAAATTTAAAAATATACAGAAAAAAAAAATGCACATTTATTTTTTACTTGATGAATTTTTTTTCAATGTTTGGGGATTACTTATTTGAGTTTATATAACTTAATGATTATTTTACTTGGTATGATAATGATTATTCTTTTTGCCAACCCTTTTACGAGTAAATCAATTATAGATAATGATAGTTACCACCTTAATGTAAATTCATTTTCATGCACTCAAACCCATTTGCTAAAATGATTACCACTTCATCATTTGACTTTTAATACTGGGGGGATGATAGTTGAAGCACTAATTAGGATTTGGAATACTAGTTTGGTTTTTTCTGTTCTTGCAGAGAAGGAATTTTCCTGTTTGAATTTTGGTAGAATTGTGTATTATTACAGACTCGGATTAAAGATAATAATTAGTGTTTAGTATTAAATAATTTATATTATATGAAATTTTCTAAGAGCATACTTTAAAAATTAAATTAATGGGTAATGCATTTTTATCCTTTTCCATTATTAACAATCTATTAATAAGCATTTCAAAAAAAGTTTTAAAGTTTTTTTACCTCTCGGAGTATTAGTCCCGATATCCAATTATTCTTTTATACGTATATATTCGGTTAAATTCTAAAAATAATTATATAAATCAATATAAAAAGATCTTAATATAAATTTGGGATAAGAAGATTTTTTTTGAAATAAAAAATCTATAGATGCAAGAATTTTGGCCTTGGAAATTTCAGTAGGGTACAAAGCGTGGAAAAAATGATGAAATAAGCACATCATGTGTATGTATATGGGAGGGACAAACAATACATATGTCCAAATCTGATTGTATTAATTAATTAATAAGCAATTAACCAGACAGAAAATGATGCATATAATTAATTTAATTGAGTCACGCCTATTAATTTCTCAACTGTTACTTATTAAGCCTAGATTTTAGTCAACTAAAATATGGAGGATGGGGATTTAGCTAATTATATAATTGCAACAGTTGAAACAAGGGGGAGAATATGTGTGTGTAAGTATATATTTGGAATGTTCATCTACAGCCAAGTGGGAAAGCATTCAAAGAAGATGTAGATGAGGAAGAGGCCCCATATTACCTTCTTCTGACGTGTTTTCATTTTAATTTGATCGCAGCCTGTTAACGTGATGTTGGATATGTTTCCACTTGCAATGGATAAAAGTTGAAGTACCAGTTTATATTCTTATATATATATATATATGTGTGTGTGTGTGTGTATGTATATGTGTATATGTGTAAGTGAACCCACCACCAGGAGGTACTTGATAAGCGCCAAAATGGGCTTGATGGCCGGTGTCCATTTCACTTTACTTTTCTTGGCAGTTTAATTTCTATTTTCGTGTTTCCTCTTCCACCCAAAAATTTGAAGTACGTTTCCATATATACACTTGTTTTAACCCTCCATAACTTTTTTCCTTTTCTTCAGTATGTATTAATTTCACACTGCTTGCTTCCATAATTGCAGCCTTTCCACAATCCCATACCAATCATTGGAGTTTATTGGGATCCCTTTGATATCTAGATACTTAGTTCATCAGTTTATTTTTTTATTTTTATTTTTTTTTAAAAAAAAAAAAACTCATTTAAGTAAGTCTCTTCTATCTTATAACCCCTTTAAATTTTGTTTTTCTAAAACATTCATCATGAGTTTAAGATTGAAACTTGTGTTTTTTTATAAACTAAAAAGTCTTTCTTCCTTCCAGCCGAAATCAAAGAGACTCCAAGAGAATCCATTTTTATCAAGTTTGAATACTAAAATCGATTTTAAAATATTTTTATATGATGTTTAACATCTTTAAATATCAAATTTACTTTATTCTATATCCAAATATATATATATATACATATACATATTATAAAAAAAAAAAAAAGATAGAAAAATTAGATTAGATTTTTTTTTTCTTGATATAACATGGTTTATTGAGAATAACTCAAACTTGATCATCCTAACCCCATAAATACATTAATAACTTAAATAATTAGTATTATTGAATGAAACATAATAATGTTGGTCGCCTAGCCCATACACAAAAAAAAAAAAAAAAACATGA